GATGGGTCTGTACCAAACTTGGCACAAATATTCAGTGTGCAAAAATTTGAACATTGGTGGAGTTGGGGAAAATAGACCTTGACATTTGGGAATTGTAGTTGCTCTGTTTTATAGTTCACCTACAATCACAGCAGGAGGAAGGCTTTTGGTGGGAGGATTTGCCCTCTGTTTCCAAAAAGGAAGACACTTCAGCTTCTCTGCCAAAGGGATTCCTAAGACCATCAGAAATATATATTTTCTGATGGACTTTGGCGAGAAACACTAGTTTGGGACATGTTTAGGCTCAAAATTATGGTTTTACTATTAATTGTGAATAAGTCGGGGTAATTACATGGAAAGGGAAAAACACCAATGGTGGCTTGTGGCCAACCGCCACTGCCATCTCTCTGCCCAGGCATTCAGAAGAGCCAAAAGTGGTGCCACAGTGAAGAAAATAAAGTGGGGCAGTGTTTCTTTGGGTTGACCTAGGACTGACCTAGTTTTTGCCTTTCACCGCTATATCCAGAAAAGCAAATGCTCCTTTATTTCATAAAACCTAAGGTACAATACTCACATTGACCTGTTGATAAGCCAACCCAGATTTTTTGGGTTAATTTTTTTAAACTAAAATTCCTAGACTTACAGATGAGTACATAAGGTAGGTTTCATAAAATTGTGCTCATCAGGGTTCATGAGATTTTTTTCCCCTTCAGACTACAGTATTTAATAGTTTCATTGTGGATAATATTTAAGGAATACTAATTTGTCTTTTCATATTATAGGGTGTTTCAATGGCTCAAGAATCTCCCAAAAATTCAGCAGCAGAAATCTCTGTGACAAGCAATGGAGAACTTGAGGATGCACAGGAGCACAGCTTCAATAGGGTGTGTATATCATTCTAATACAATCCACTAAATTGCTTGTTAGTAATTCACTTAAATTAAAATTTCAGCAGCAATATAGTGCCTTGATTAGCCCAACCTTCTCCTGCTTTGAGAAGCCTGGTTACTGGTGATAAACAAACATCTAAATAACTTCAGAAAAGCAACAAATCTTTTCAAACCTAAGAGCCGCCGCAAACTAGGCTCCCGCGGGAGCAAACCTTGCCAGCACGTCCCTGACGTCATGAGGCTGCGCTTCTCGCCCCGCCCCTTTCTCAGCCTCTTTCTCCGTGCCAGAGTGGTTTTTCCTTTGCTAGGGCAGCATTGCCAGTTGGCAGAATTCAACTGAGAGAATATGCTGGCAATGCTGCCCTAGCAAAGGAAAAACCACTCTGGCACGGAGAAAGAGGCTGAGAAAGGGGCGGGGAGAGAGGCGGAGTCTCATGACGTCAGGGACGTGCTGGCAAGGTTTGCTCCCGCAGGAGCCTAGTTTGCGACGGGTCTAAAGTGCAGATTGGGAGTGTAAGAGTGTAAAACTGCAACTGTTTAACTTTTAAGGAGCCCCTGGTGGTGTAATGGGTTAAACCCTTGTTACGGCAGGACTGCTGACCAAAAGGTCATCGGTTCAAATCTGGCGGGGTGAGTTCCTGTCTGTCAGCTTCAACTTCTCATGCGGGGACATGAGAGAAGCCTCCCACAGGATGACAAAACACCCAGACATCCCCTGGACAACGTCCTTGCAGACAGCCAATTCTCTCACACCAGAAGCGACTTGCAGTTTCTCAAGTCACTCCTGACACACGCACAAAACTTTAAGTGATTCTTTCTTTCTTTCAAATGTAATCTGGTTAATAGGATAAGCTAAATCTCCTGAATTATTAATAATTCTTCCAGACAAATATGAACTGAACAAGTATGGTCTGGAATCTAGGAACCTAAATTACTTCCAAGGTTCCATTTCTTTTTTATAATATATTCATTTCAGTTTTTAGCTTTCAATGGTATACTGAATTTTGGCTATTTGTGTAATTAAATTAGTTGGTATTCCCATTAAAGTATTGGAATTGAATACATATTTTAGATACTTGTATAAGCAGCTGTGCTTTCCTGCCTGCTCAGCGTTCTGCTGAAATGATAAAACATGGGGGGAAAGGGATTGCAGTTGTAAAATGTGGCTGCATTAATAAAATGGTAAAATGCTTCAATATCCACTTGTGTGTTCTAGCACAAGGGGTAAATTTAGAGTTCTGTTTGTGTAACCTGAAGAAAGAAGGTTTGGGTGAATATCCTTAGTCAGATTTAAAAATCAAAGCTCTACTCTTATTGCAGTATTTTTCCTAATAGTAATATTATGAGAGAAAGCACAGGGGTTCTTTCACAAAATGTATTACCATCACTTTAGGCGGCAGAAGATTTGTAGCAACCCATCCAGCGTTATGATATTGTGCAAAACAATATAGTGAGAAAGATGAGTTGCAGTCATCTTATTTCCCTACTAGGGTTCAAAGAATGACAGTCTTGCGATTCACTGTCAGTCCTTTCTGGCCTTACAGCTTCTACTCTGTGTCATGGGAAATGCTTTAAATAATAGAAATAAATTGGGAAACAATGCATTATTTGTTTGCGTAACTTTAAACATATTACCTGAAAACTATTTGATTGTTGACAGATTATACACTCCCTTTTTAACCACATTATCTATGAATGTTGTGCAAATTTTGCTCCACAGCAAATGTGGAGGCTATATTTGATATCATCTGATTTACACAGAAAGTTCATCTTTGAATTCCATGAGGGGGCATTCAATTTTTTCAATTCATTCAGAGTTTTGAGCTCCTTCCATAACTTTATACATAAAAAATGTGTCTCTTATCACATTATATGTAAATAGTTGGATAGATCTTTAGTAAATTTAGGGGGGATATTTGAGCGAGTTTTAACATAAAAGCTATGTGGTATACATAAAATCCCCAGAGTGGTGATGGTGGAGGTGCCATAATTATTTTTTTATTGTCGGTATTATAATGAAAAGTCTATTGGGAGAGGTAGGCTCTTAGGGGCATCCAAACAGAGATGCAGTCATTCCCCAGAGCAGTCAAAATTGAACAGCTACAGAAGAGATTTAATGATTTTTCCTGGGCAGTGCTGGGTGCTACAGTTAGTTATTCATGTATTCAAATAACCAAGTGTGATATCTGATTTAATCTATATAACTTTATGGGATGAGCCTTAGAAATGATCTTCGGAGTGTGCGTTACATTAGAGAAGTGATAACCATCACAATTTATCATGAGCTATGGATCAGGTGATGATAATAGATTGAGATAGCTTACTACTATAATTACGGGGGATCTGTATAATGTGTTAATTAACCCTGTATCACATCACAAACTGTTTCTAAAGAAATCTGCAAAGGCAATTTAAAAACTGACCTATGGGGCAGGTGTGGCAAAAACGCTATTGTGTCTAAGGAAAGACTAGATATAAGGTGAATTATTCCCCCTTAATACATGCTTGCAGGTGATCATAGGCATTTAAAATAGGCAAACATACAGGATTATTTTGGGGTCACCATGATATTAATTCTGTATATTTAGTCTATGGTGAATGACAGAGGCATATGTATGATAATGACTGTATTTCAATATTTTAATAAATTTCAGAATGAAGTTATAAAGGATTGGATCTAGATTTGGTCATGTATAATTGGACTGGCAGAAAATGAACTTTCTTGCTGCCTTTACCCTACAGTGTTCACTCCAGTCCGCTGAAAATGCTATACAGAGAGCCAGGGACCCTCCTGAATGGGGTGAAGTATGTTGCCAGGGAGGGAGATCCCTAAGAATTAGGGAGCAGTACCATCTGTAAGCAAAGGGCCTTCTACTAATAGAAGGTAGATTCTGGATCCATTTCCCTAAAGTATATGCACTGTAGAATTGTTAGTCAAAAATTGACCCAAAAACATTGGTTAGCCCCCGGTGGTGCAGTGTGTTAAACCGCTGAGCTGCTAAACTTGTTGACCAAAAGGTCACAGATTCGAATCTGGAGAGCAACATGAGTTCCCGCTGTCAGCCCCAGCTTCTGCCAACCCAGCAGTTCAAAAATATGCAAATGCGAGTAGATCAATAGGTACCGCTCTGGCGGGAAGATAACGGTACTCTGTGCAGTCATGCCAGCCACATGACCTTGGAGGTGTCTACGGACAACGCCGGCTCGTTGTCTTAGAAATGGAGATGAGCACCAACCCCCAGAGTCAGACACGACTGGACTTAATGTCAGGGGAATCTTTTACCTTTACTTTTACTTATCCATAGGTCAAATTACTGTATATTAACTCTCATTTTAAAAAACGGAGCCATGCCCTTCTCTTGAGTAGAGTAGCAAAAGGTGAGAACTTAGCTCATCGCAAGAAATCCTAAAAGAAGAACAAATCACCTTATTCTCTTTATTGTGATATGTTTTCTAACCTTTTTGAAAGCCTGGGTAAGGAAATGGCCCCCTGAGGTGACAATGACGCTTTTCCTTTGACTTGTCCATCAATCATATCAAAATGCATAATTTTGGCACCTAAACCTTCCCTTGACTTATATATGAGTATATATGGGATATTGAAATGTTGGCTAATAACATGAGAAATAGTAACTTTACTCTTTAGTACAGAACTATATGTTTATTTATTTATTTTATTTTATTTCAGTTACTTATACCCCACCCTTCTCACCCCCAAGGGGGGACTCAGGGCGGCTTACAAAGGAAGGCACAATTCGATGCCTGTGTCAAAAATACATACATACATAAAAGCAATCAAACAGTTAACAGGTTAAAAACATCAGTACATAACACAATAGTAAACAATCTCATGGTCAGTGTTCAGAGTTCCATAAATCCATTCCGTTCTGTCAATTCCTGCCCATCATCAAGGTCTTTCCTTTAGCTGCCAGAATGTCCAAAAGCCTGGTCCCACATCCAGGTCTTCAATTTTTTTCTGAATGACAAAAGGGAAGTCGCTGATCTAATCTCCCCGGGGAGTGAGTTCCACAGGTGAGGGGCCACTACCGAGAAGGCCCTGCTCCTCGTCCCCGCCAGCCTCACTTGTGATGGAGGCGGGGTCGAGAGCAGGGCCTCCCCAGAAGATCTTAGACTCCGAGGTAGAGGGAGATCCGTTCGGACAGATACACTGGGCCGGAACCGTATAGGGTTTTGTAGGTCCATGTTTGAGGTCCATCTGCATTTCTAAAACCTGGCAGGCAGCTCGCACACTTAAACAGGTTTATACCTGAAGGATTACCGTTTGCCCCTTTTCGTTGTGACCGTGTTCTTTGAACAGGAAAAATAATAATTGAGCTCAACAAATTTTGGGGGACAAGGCGCAGCAAGCCTCTTTTAAAGCATCAGGTGTGTGTTTCAAGACTGCAATGAAAATATTTAATTATTCAGATAGTACAGTTGAAAATCAAGGCTGTTGAAAGTTTTAATAACGTACTCTTGTAATGCTTTTGATTGCTTTTATCACAGTCCTTATTTCATTATCGAATTGGAAGCCAGTAGGGCTTTGGCATAATATTATTGTGTCATGCTGAGGTAACATGCATAGTTATCACATTAATTGTAGCCATTCAGATCCAGAATGGTATGTGCATATCATGTATATTCCTAAATTGATTAATGGTAGCATTAAGGTTCCTACAGTTTAGCACAGAAGTCTAACAGACTGAATTATATTTTACAGCACAGCCACAGAAAGATGCTATTTTGTGCAGTATGAATAGTGTTAGGTATTTACCTTTCTAATTTAAATAATTAACTTTTCTTCACATAAGAACAATGTATTTTTTTTAAAGGGATATGATATGCTTTACATTCAGGCTAAATATTTACTACAGAATAAATTGTAGATGCATACCATTTCTTAAATCATCTGATTTCACAAAATCTAGGGAAATTACTGTACTTATCAATATAATCACAAATGAAGGTTTATGTTTGATCTCTGAAATTCACTTCAGATAAGCTTGTCTGAAGTCACCTACGGATAGTCACCTATGGATGTGAGAGCTGGACCATAGGGAAGGCTGAGCGAAGGAAGATATATGCTTTTGAACTGTGGTGCTGGAGAAAAGTTGGAGTGCTTTGGACAGCGAGAAGATCCAACCAGTCCATACTTGAAGGAATAAAGCTTGACTGCTCATTGGTGGGAAGAATAGTAGAGGCCAAGATGAAGTACTTTGGCCACATCATGAGGAGACAGGAAAGCTTAGAGAAGACAATTATCTTGGGGGAAATGGAAGGAAAAAGGAAGAGGGGCCGACCAAGGGCAAGATGGATGGATGTTATCCTTGAAGTGACTGGATTGACCTTGAAGGAGCTCGGGGTGGTGATAATTGACAGGGAGCTCTGGTGTGGACTGGTCCATGAAGTCACGAAGAGTCAGAAACGACTGAACGAATGAACAACAACAAAGCTTGTCTCCTCTCTTAAGAGGTCTAAAGGGAAAACCGCCTTTACTTGCCTCCATCTTGTAAATGATGCATATAATAATCACGTCTTGAATACTATTTCCTACAGATACTTGGTGGTGCAGAGACAATGAAGTATGTATTGCAGTGTGTGCCACATATTGATTTTACTGCATGCACACACTTTCTGAACTGTTAATTAACTTCTTTCTATATGTGCTGTGTTCTTTTCCCAATTGTTGTGCTATTAAATTACCACAGGGAGAGGCGGGTAATAAATTCATTATTGTTATTACTACTACTACTACTATTACTTGCACAGTTCTCTGGCGAATAATATAGAGACCCTAGTTCAGTGCCTAGTGATTTTGTTTGAAAGCCAATGATGAATCTGTCACAGGGTTTTCCAGGCAGGATTTGTTCAGAGGGTGTTGCTTCGGTTTCATATGAGGCAAAGACTGGAATTCAGGTTGAGAAATGTGCATGTATGCCTTATATTTACAGGTGTCCTTTTTCAGGCATTGTGGAGGGTTGATGTTGATATTCCCACCCTCAGTGTTGCACTCAAAGCCCTCCTCCTTAAAGCCCCAAAACTATCTCATGCGGACATTTTGTGTTTTTACATAGTGAAGCATCTGGCAGTCGCCTTCCTTAGCCAAATGTACAATGATTACAGAAATGCTGAGACCCCTGGCTATGGGGTAGGATAGCTAGATCTACTTTGATGTTACATGTTAAAGCATGGAACACCTGCATGGGCTGGCTTCAGGTCGTTAAGAGTACATTTTGGGGCATGTGGGTCACCATAGTGTAGAATCTGCGTGCAAATTTTTACACTATGTTAAGGGGGGCATGATTTGATGTGATTTACTCGGTCAACCAGTGAGTTTCCATGGCCAAGTGGAGATTCATACCTTGATCTCTCAGAATCCTAGTTTAACATACAGTATTTCATATTCCTATTGTGATTTCATCCACTGTGTTGCCATGCCCACTTTACCATATTATCTGTATTACACTGTTGTCTGGCATGAGTGGAGAAGCACAAGATGATATGGCAGTAGATGAGCATTGTTATCACCATTTAAAGCTGCTTGGAGGAAAGGTGGGACATAAGTACAGTAGAATCTTGCTTATCCAACCTTAGCTCATCCAACGTCCTTTATTATCCAACACAGTCTGTCACTCGCCCGGATCCACAGCTATTTCAATACTTTGTGATGTTTTGGTGCTAAATTTGTAAATACAGTAATTCCTACAGAACGTTACCATGTATTGAACTGCTTTTAGTGTTAATTTGTTGTAAAACATTATGTTTTGGTGCTTAATTTGCAAAACCATAATGTAATTTGATGTTTAATAGGCGTTTCCTTAATCCCTCCTTATTATCCAACATTTTTACTTATCCAACTTTCTGCCAGCCTGTTTATTTTGGATAAGTGAGACTCTACTGTATAGCAAATTCAAGGAGTGTGGCTGATCCTTAAAATGAGTGTCATTTCCAGTAATGTATTATTTCTTAAATGTGCACTCAAATTAGAAATGTATAGTACTCACTGTAGAGTTCTGATAAGAGCAATAGTAACTGAAGACAGGGTTCATTCAGCTTCATGTCTCTTAAGTTCAAAAACTTCAAAGAGTTGCCAGTGAATTATTTTAAAAAGGGAATGCATAAAGATAAATCAGTATTCTGTAGAGCAAGTGCTTCCTTCCAAGTAAGCTTTAATAAAATCTTGGGGAAATTGTATGTGCTTTCCAATCCTTTGAAACAGTTGAGTGCTAAATTAAGTTACAGGTAGACTTTGGTATGTTTTTGTGCTTATTATGGTCATTAACATTGTGGGTTTGAAACTAAAGCTGACAGCCCTTCTCAATAAAAACTGATGCTGCTGATTAAAGATTAAAGGCTTAATCCCTGATGATTGTTCATTGCTAGAACACTTTGACACTTAGTGCATAACAAAAAAAATGTTCCAAAACTGCCAGAATTTGGGTGTGGAAAGAGTGTAATGGTGAATGAGGTGAGATTCAATAGAAAGCAGCCCTACAGGACATCTATGGAGACAGGAAATAAATTCAGGAAAATAAAGAGTAGGCAAATGTGCCACAGATTTTTCCACTGTGGAGTGCATCATAAGTCAGCCTTCATTGAATCACATACATGCTCTGTAGTTCACCAGTTCTTCATGTCTATTGAAACAACAGAAAGCTAGGGAAGTCAGTGCCCCCCTTACTAGTCATGGTAGATATACATTAGTTTAGAAACACTGCCCCTTCTTTGACGAGTACATGTAGGAATAGGAAATGAGGCAGGACATGACTGGTTCTCCTAATTTTATCTGTTTATTTTCAAAGATCTAAAATGCTGCATGGCAGAAACTATTTGCTTAGCAAGTGGGAAAAATATTGTCTTTACAATTTCCCTAATTTATATAAGTTTGTATAGTCTTATTTTTTTTTTTTGAAGGTTGACTATCCAGGGGAGGAACCCGCCCTTTATGTCTGCTCTGAGGGTTTATTATGATGCATGTGGTTATTCTACCTAAGTTTTTACCTTTGTTTTACTTTGGTGTGGTAGCCATAATCTTAGGTAGAGAAGCATTTCTGAGAGAGGTACAGGATATTCATCAGAAATGCAAATATGTCATGCTGTTGTTTGAGCTCAGAAAATTACAGCCAGTCCTGTTGTAGATATGGCAGTAGTCTGAATTTTCCATTTGCATCGAACTACAGTGCTCAGCACTACTCTATATACTCATATATGAGGCAACTGCAGGATCGAATTGAGGGAAGGTTTAATGGCCAAAATTATGGATTTTGATTTTTATAATGTCAGAATTGAATTGAGAATACAATTATAATACATTTTTTAAAAAAACACAAAGTTAAAAACTTGGATTTTGATAGACCTCATTAATAAGTCAAGGGTTCTAATTAATGTGGAGAGAGAAATGCACCAATCATGTCATAAGAATTAGCAGAAAATTATAAATTATTGTTTAATTGTATGGAAGAATTGTATTGCAGCAAACTTGGAGTTTGAGGCTCCTGAAGATTTGTTCAGATAAAAGCAAACCAGGATGTTGCTCAAATCAAAAACATTAATTGACATTAGCATTAAGTAGCCAGTATAATGGCAGATCTCAGATTATTGCAAAGGCGACCTGTTTGCTCTTCTTGATTTACTTTTGAAATAGGTTCAGACCCCTAAAGTGTGGATTTAACTTGACAATACTAAGTTCCATGCCAGAAGTATTGATTTCTAGCCCCCTTACCCTTAGAAAGCAAGGAAAAAGTATGAAGAATAAATATTAAGAGTTCTCGTATTAACTCCTAGACAGTCCCATCTCTGTTTTGAGGTATCTGGCATTGATCCTTTTCATTTCTTAAGTAAAGAAGGAAATTGAAGGGAAGTCACAGATGAGCTGACAAGATCTGATTTTGAATCTCTTTAAAACTTAATTTAATACAGATCTTATTGCAAACAGGGCTGTTCTGCATGACATCCTGGAGTGTATTATTTTTCTAGTATGTTGCTTAATTTTATATAGTTTTTTGCAAGCTTCTTTAAGTCCACTTGTGTAAATCATTCTAATTCACAGCATATTCCTCAAGATTATGAATCTCAGAGCAAGGGAACTTGTAGTCTTGCATATATTATTAGACTGTGGAGATACCATTATCCATAGCAAAAAAAGAAAAAAAGAAAGAAAAGGAAATAGTGGACATTATCCACTATCATGATCTCCATACTTACTTTAATATCCACATTCTTGTGATATATATGTTCTCTTTAACATTCTAAAATAAGATTAATCAGGGTTTACTGGTAAGGACAACACAAGACTTTCTACTATGAATTATTGATTTCAATATCTACTCATTATTGTTGTGGTCCAACTTAGTCGTTAAGAAAACGCTATAAAAAGAAGAAATTCAGTATGAAAGTTGTTCTAACTTAAAATGCTTTCCCTCGAATCAGAAAAAAAGCTTAGAAACTAGATTTTTTTTAGCTTGTAGAAATTTACATATCTTTTGACAGAGCCATTTAAGTCATCAAAGCACATTCTGGAATGCTGGTAAAGTTCCTCTAGCATAGATAGACTCCATTTGCATTTGGTATACAGTGTCTGATCTACTAGTTTAAGCAAAGCCCGGAATGTAGCCTGCAAAAATATATTCTGTTAAGTCATCAGAACAGAACATTATGACATCGTAAAGTAGATTCCAAGAAACAAAATGCATTCAAGATGAGTTTGAAGGATTGTGGTTATGCCTAGATGTCCCCTCGTCTGACCTCTTTACATGGATATTCCATTTTATTCACATATTTCTAAGGACTTCAAGCGGTCCCTACAAGCGGGACTTGGTTTGTCCGAAACTCAAATTACATCACATGGCTTTGACAGCACCAAAGAGGGCATCATTGAAGCTGGACCTTTTCAAGGTAATAATTAAGAAATTTTAATATTGCTAAAAATATACTAATGTTTAATAAAAGATTTAAATAGCATTTATTATTACTCAGTGTTTTAGTTGTATGTCTTCAAAAAGTTTCTGACTTATGTTGACCCTAAGGCAATCCTATTACAAGGTTTTCTGGGCTGAGAGTGTGTGTAACTTGCCCAAGGTGAACCAGTGATGTTTTTAACAAAGCCAGGAAATAAAACGATGGTCTCTAGAGTCATAATCTGATTCGCAAACCATTGCTAACTTATATGCAAAGCCTTCATCCAAAAGACTGTATGCATTGACAAGTCTTTTTCTAAAACAACTGAGTTCTAACTGAATTCATGATGGCGAGAAATAATGCTTGGGATTTAGTCGGTAGAAAGAAAATGACTTGCAGCAAAGACTAGAGATATGGGGAGATGGGAAACATTGAAAAAATTGTTTTCAAAATTGTTTCCCTTTTAAAAAAACAATTTTCCCTATGGGTTTTCTCCCCTGTTTCTTCACATCTTTACAAAGAACTGTGTGATGTCAAGGACCTCTGAGGAGCCCTAAGTTCATGTACAACATTGTATTCTGGTTCCTCCAAAATGTTGTAGATCCAAGATACCTTGGTTCAATGAAGTTGGATGTTCATGGTGTTTGTCACATTTTCAGGTCCCTCACTACCTATGTCACCTGTTATATCACCTAGCAGTGCAGCAGCTAGCAGACTGGCTGGACAAGGGAGTGATTTAATTATTCCAAAAGGTATTCAGAGGTTGAAGCAGATAACACCCTTGCTAATATAATACTAACTCACAAATTGGCATACAATTACATGACTTGTGATTACTTTCCTTGCTATGAATAATTATAACACCAGCTTTTTCATGGTTCTGTTGTTTGGCAAAATACAGATGTTTTTCTTTCTGCGTACTATCTTCCTCCTATATTTAACATGACCTAATTAATACTGTCTTCAGGAAAAATCAAGCATAAAAATAAGACACCAAGCATTAAATTTTGTATTTGTCTTGATATCTTACTAAGTAGTAATTATGGTTGATTCTCTGGTTTAACTGAACATGTAATTTTTGATGAACTTATTGAATTATTTTAAATTGAGCAAGGAAGTTCAATCTAGATGCCTTTTACTCTTGGTCACTTATGCTGTAACTTCAAATGAGGCTCCTGCAAGCGGAACACTGTAAAAGTGGGTGCTGGTGGGAGACATCCATGTCTGTGTTATAGTAGGATGGAGAGACCTGCACCTACCCAAGTTCAACTCAGAAGGCCAGCTGGGGGAGGAATGTAGGTGCCTTACATCTTCAATTCAAAGAGGTGGCTATAACCCAGTAGCAGCCTCACATCTGTTTGCACCTGACCTCTCACTCCCTTCCATGCTCTCTGACTGGTCTGGCAAGCAAGCAAGGAGCAGAGAACTCTACATCCAGCTCCAAATCAGGTAGCTGCTGTTTCCCCCTTCAGTCAGGAAACCTACCTTGCGCCACTGCTGAGATCTCTTAATTGGATCTAGGGGAGGACCCACGGCAGGATCGTTGGTGTGAGGTTGGAATGCACCTTGTTCTCTGGAAGCTTGCCGGGGCTTGCCCTCCATCGCATTTGCTGGCGGCCTTGGTCCGCAATCGTGCAGGCCCAGAAAGGCACTGGCAGGTGCAGGTGTTTTCTGGGCCTGCACACCACACTCTCTTTCCAAGGAGAGTGCGTATGTAGCTTGCAGGCCCAAAAGCGGCCATGCCTGCCAGGACCTGCAGCTGAGTGCCAAGCAAGAGGTGCTTGGCTGCAGGCCCTGACAGGCACTGGCGCTTTGGGCCTGCAAGTCACACATGCACTCTCCTTGGAAACAGAGAGTGTGTGTGGCATGCAGTCAAACGCTGAAAATCAGGCGACCAATCAGTTACCATTCCCAGTTTCCTTTCATTTTATTGATGTTTTTGTACTGGTTTCGTGCTATCTGAATGAAACAAACAGTACGAAAACACAAATTAAGTGGCTTAAATGGTTACCGGGGCCATGACTACTGAACAGTACCAAAATCGGTAAGACTGCTTTAAAAGGAGAGCATCCCTTACAAAAAAAGGTGAAACCACACAGCTGAACAACCCTCCCATTGACAGTAATACCGTATTATATAGATTGTGTCTCAATTTATTGGCTATGACCCAGGCCATTAGCACACCCAGGCACCGACTCATAGCACCCACTCCCGCACATGGATTTGACAAACAGGAGAGAAGGAGCTGGATATCAACCACATATTGGTGAGATGTCAGTTCCTATTTCTTTACAATGTCTCCTAGCAGCTTTACACAGGTATTAAATAGCATCAAGGATAGAGTAGCACTGTATGGAAATTCGTAGCACAGAATTGCCAAGAATAAAGGAATGACACCATCCTCCTCTTCAAGGAACAGGAATTGGCCATTCAGGTATGGACAGGCTCAGGACAACAACTCGGGGCTCAGCGTTTTTTCTCTTTTCTGGATGTTTCTAATGAATATATGCAATAAGAATGAACTTGGAAAAGAGAGAAAAACATTTTATTAACCTGGATGGATTCCATGTTTAGCTCTTGATTTGAGGATCATGGCAGAAATTATTTCTGTAGTGATGGGCCATAACAAAACATACCAGTTTTGAACACCCTAAAGAATTATGATTATCTATAATTGAACTCTGGAAATCTCTCTGGTTGATCTGAATGTATTTTCTCTCTCTCTTCTATGCATTGCTGTATCCACAATTACTTTAAAACTAGCAGGGAACCTCAGGTCTCTGAAGCCTCCCAAGCTTGCTTCTGCTTCCTTTAACTTAAAAGTACTCTGATTCTCATACTATCAGGTTTAGCTTGAAATGTTTTTCATTGGCATGAGTTGTTTCAAACATAGATTTCCATGTTTGGGACAGTGGAAGGTTGGGGGGGGGGGGGTGCAGTTATAGCTTGGAAGGGAAGGCTTAGCCCTCCTCTGAGCCGTGCAATCCTCCCTATGATTGCAGCTCTGTGCTTCATTTAGGCATGGAAGACAACCCCTATTTAAATCAGTGGAATATTTATTTCAAGACAAACAACACTATCATAGGTCCTGTGGATCTTTGAGGACTAAAAATTGTTAAAAACTTGAAGGGACTACAAAACTTATTTTAAAAAGAAAGGTTCCACTGGCCCTACAGCACTTGTAGGAAAGGTTGTACTTGATAACCTTTTAATTCTTCTGTGTGACTAAGAGAAGCGGGTAGTGACTCACTTGATTTTACTCAGTTTCATGATGTCTATCTTTGGTTTGTGGTCCCTTGGGCCAGAAGAAAAGTCCTCACCTGTTTCTGAAGCTCTGTGTGCTTACCACTGCTTCACATATGTCTTATGCACATAAAGGCATCTGGAAGGGATGGTGAATCATGTACAGAAAACACATAACAGGGCATATTTTCTATGTCAGAATTGCAGGTTCCCAGCATGTTGTCTTAACAGGTTTTACATGTGTCTGCTTCATATATAAAATGTTTGTCACACTACCAATGGCAGACTTACTTAAAAGGCATCATATTTTAAACAGCTTTGAAATGTCTTGAGTACCTTCCTTCCTAAATTGTGGATGGGATGCTGTAAGAGAAAAGTAGTGTTAGAAAAAGTGAATAATGCCTTATTGTTCCATTTTTTATTCATGTGAAAAGCATTGCACAAATAAACAAATATAAAACTGATAAAATAGAGGGAACACAAGCTGCTAAATAATTTTAGACCAAAAACAGGCAACAGTGACCACATTGTTTGTAGTTTTAAATAGTTCTTCTTCTGTGTATGAGGCAGGGCATTGTGGGCAAGCATGCAGATGCCTAGTTGTTTGTTCTGCTTCACAGTCGCACAAGGTGGAGGATTCCTAGATAGTGCCATTTAGCCAGGTTGTCTTTTGAGCTGCCCACTCCACTTCTGAGTCTGTTCAGGGACTTCCACATTGCCCATTCTTGTTTTTTCTTCTTCTTCTTTTGTTCCATGGAGAGCATAGAGCATCACTCAGGGTAGATTTGCAATTATTACAGTAGTTAATTGCCATAGTAAGTAATAATCAGATGGAGGATTTTTTCCCCTTCCCTTCACTGTGCATTAGTCATTCAGAGGTCTGTTTTCATTCCTCATGGAACTATTTTTTTTCCTAAATGAGAAGATGCTGCTAGATATGACAGGTAGAGGTAATCTTGCAAACTGATACAGTGCCTCTTAGCTATGAAGCAAGTCCCAATGAGCTTGGTAAGATTTGCTGCCAATTTAAAGGTGCTTACGTTTATAGCTACACTATGCTAAGATTTGAAGAGACTTGTCTTCTCGAACTTTAATGAAACATTCCTGTGAAGAAAATAAAAGAGAGTATAATGCATGGACTACTACTACTCCCCCCCCCCCTCTAATCCTACCTATTTGTTTTGTGCAATTCAGTTACAAGTAACAAGGTTTTGGTAAATTCTTCTATGTGAAATTGGACAAATTTTCCTGTTTTATGCTGTTTACACATGCCAAATGCATTATCAAATTGAATTGGTTCTGTAGAACTTTCTGTCAACCTGATAATACAAGAGAATCAGAGTATTTTAAAGCTACTTAATTCACAATATCAAATTATTGGTGACACTAATTTAAGAACATACGCCTGAACAATAATTTATATGATGGATGAGTTATGCCTTTAGAAATATTGTATTTGTAGCCTTGTATTTAATTCAACTGCTAAAATCATCTGCTTAGTATTTTTGACCTGGCCTCTTATGTATGGCTTCTAAACAGGCAATGTAAGAATACAACAAAAAAGTGGACCAGTTGTTCTAGCAGAGGAGACAAAGAATCCAGCAATGGAAAAACTAGAGCTTGTAAGGAGATGGAGTCTGAACACATACAAGGTCTGTATTAGTTTCACTGTTGTGGTTGTGGTCGTATTACCAGAACTTTCTGGACCCAATTCAAAGTGCAAGTTATTACCTATAGAGTCATATACACTTTGGGTCCAACCTAACTTTGAGACCACATCTCCTTCTATGAACCTACCAGGGAGGCCCTCCTCTCGGGCCCACCTCCATCTCAAGTGCGGTTGGTAGGGATAAGAAAGAGGGCCTTCTCAGTGGTGGCCCCCCAGCTTTGGAATGCCCTCCCGAGGAAGATCAGGTTCGCCTCCACCCTCCAAACCTTACGCACACAATTAAAGAAATGGCTTTTTCGACAAGCTTTCAACCATATTTATATTCTCCAATAATACATATGAGGACCTTTAGATTCTCTATCAAGCACTTTACAATTCTGAGATCAAATACTGTTCTTTTTACCTACAGAATTCACTGTATTTTATTGTTTTTAACCAGGGGGTACTATGAAATTGTGATGTTATATTGACTGTTTATTGTTTAGGTTTTATTTTGCAGTTGTTGTATTTTGCATGTTACTCCTTGAGTGTTCCGTGAGCTGCTCCGAGTCCCTCTGGGAGATGGTGACAGGATACAAATAAAAGTTTATTATTGTTGTTGTTGTTGAAGGCTAAGAGATTGTCATGAATTTTTAAAACTTTGTATCGAAGTGACTTCTTGGAGGGAAGAAATATATGATAAGGAATGTAATTGGTTTTGAGTCCTATATGAACTTGATTGCATTACAGTAGTATATTCAGTAATGCACTAATTTCTTAAAGTTATCCAAAAGACCTATATTTTCAGGCATTTTTATAAAGCTACTGCATTTAAGAAGTTAAAAATCACTGTGGAGACATTCAGAATGGTTGTCTGCAAAGAGAACTGCTGAATTTGGTGAGAATTTACATCAGTAATTAAGTTGCATAGCTATGTTTGTATATTGTTTGTCCTGTAGTATGGATTTCAGATTGCAAGCCAAGAGATAATTTATGTTTCCATAGAGCTGCTTTTGTGATTAGGGTGGAGAATTTCACATGTCATCTTGGAGCAGGTTCTCAGCAAGGTTATTGCCACTCCCTTAACCAGGGGAGAAATCCTGTCTATGAAGATTTAGTCATCAATGCAGGTTTCTCCTGCTATTTTAGCTACACTTCTCCAGTGGGTCCTCAGATTCTGTGGGCTCCAAATGGGTGGTTTCCACCAACTGTGGGTCTTTATGTCCTATAAACTGCCAGTGCAGTAAATTGCAATAGTATCTGTGAACAAGATCGGCATTGCATTATCACAGTAGCTGTAGATTCAGTGAGCAAGATGCAACTGAAAAGGGATGAGATTGGGGACAGCTATCTCCAATCATGTGAGAGGTGTAGGTTTACATTTATCTTGCTTGTGCAGAAGTTAAAATATTTTCATAATAGTGATTTACTGATTAAAGTGCGGTAGATTTTAGTTTTTTGGAAGTGAATGAGCAGCACATTCACTTCAAGGACACAACAAGGAATCTTTATAAATTCTTTGTGGTATCTACTTGGCTCTTGACAATACTGATCAGCTTTGTTGCAGCATTTTGACTTAAAGTGCTCTTAAAAGAGGGACTAACATGAAAGTCATCTGCCCTCCATTTTTCAGGATGAGTTAATCTTTTTAATGAGCTCTCTCCCCCTCAACCTCTACATAGCAGCAGTAACCCAAGTTGACATTTTTACCCTTTAGCCAGGAAAATGCACATGGTCTCTTTCGCAGACAATACCCAGTTCAATTGTATCTGCTTGCTAAAAGGATTATTTGCACAAATAGAAAACAGTAATATGTTCTTCATGATGTAGACCTTGGGTCACATGCTGGTTACTGATTTAATAGCTATTTGCTTATTCCATTCAGTTTACCATATTCATTTTACAACTACTGCTACAAAGTGTCATTCATAACCAACAACACTGAAATTTGTCTGAAATCTGTTATTTGACATGCGTACTTGTATTTAGCGGTCAGTGTGTATTTGCTTACATGTTTTTGCTATGGATGAGTTTTGAATTATAGTTCTAGGACACATGTGAAAAGGCTCTCTAGCAAAAGCATTAATTAATTTTAAAAGAGGATGTCTACACATAGCTATAACTCAGGCATTGTGGGTAGAACTAAGAAAAGGAAGGTAGGATTATACACGACTTGAAGAAACACCTGGAGGAGAACAATCTAGATCCCCTTTCCAGTGTCAAAGGCTATAAATGTGGGCTGCTAGGAGATGCCAGCACAAATTCTCTGTCAACTAGGTTGGGAAAGGCATGGAGAGGGAAAGCAAGAATCCTAGGCCTTAAAGAGGAAGGAGAATTTGAGCTTGTATTCACACCGTGTAGTGAATGTACCAAATCCATTATACCCCATCTTTCAGCATCCTTTCAACACAATGTGACTCTTTTTTGCTAAAACATTTGACAGAAAATGGCTTAAGAGTAGTGTCACTCAAAGTGGTGATGTGCAGGATTGTAGCATTAGCTTCTGGTTCTGTTGACAGTTTCCAGGAGACTAAACATTTATTTTGTGTCAAAAGCATTGCATAAACAAATTAGCATAAAAATGATAACATAGAGAGAACAAAAGTGGCTAAATAATTTTAGACCAAAAACTGGCAACAGCAACCACATTGCCTGTAGCTTTAAACAATTCTTCCTCTGTGCATGAGCCAGGGTATTGTGGGCAGGCATAGGTAGTGCCATTTAGCCAGGTTGTCTTTTGATCTACCAACTCCACTTCTCAGTCTATTCAAGGTCTTCCAAGTTGCCCATTTTTGGTTTGCCCCTGGAGGCAGACCCTTGTGTGGGGCCATCCAGTTGGGATTTCCTGATTTAGTGCCCAAAGGGATACTCATGCTGTTGCTGAGGAAACATTAAGAGGAGTGGTGCAATAATATTTTACAAATAAGCAAATGAAATAATATCGCACAAATATGGTATGTGTCTGGGATTGCTGATCAACCATGTCAGATAGCTTGAAAAGCCATACCTTGGAGTACAGTTTCAGTGTTGTACGTTTCTGGGACTTAATTCTCTTTTCTTAGATTTCTTCAGAGGAGTGGTGTCACTTTCTGTCTCCTCTTTCCTCTTGATTACTCATTTGTGGGAGCTTATTTTAAGCAAGGCTGAATGTCATTCCACAACATTTTGCTGTTTCATAGCCTAATTCTTCACTACACACAAATTTAAGATTTCTTTGTGTGTTTTTAGTAATAAAAACTGCTGTCAGTGCTATACTGGTCTGATTTTGACCACACAGCTGCATTTTGAGCTCAAATTAATTTACCGACTGAAATAGTCAGTATTTGGAAGTGTGCATGGAGATGCCAAGAAGTTAAATTGAGTATATTATAACTGATGGATATTAAGTTTGTACAGTTAATGAACGCTTTTATACTATACTGAGTAGTAGTAACATCCACTTAATCATAAACTTAATTTTTAACTTTAAATTCTGTCTTGCTCTCTTTGCAGTGTACTCGTCAGATTATATCTGAGAAATTGGGCCGAGGCTCACGAACAGTAGATTTAGAATTGGAAGCACAAATAGAAATTCTGCGGGATAACAAAAAGAAGTATGAGAATGTCCTGAGGCTGGCCCAGACCTTGTCAACTCAACTTTTCCAGATGGTGCATACCCAAAGACAGCTTGGAGATGCATTTGCGGACTTGAGTTTGAAATCACTAGAACTCCATGTAAGATTTTGTTTGCAATATATAGAATTATTGGCTATCTTTACATTAGAAATGTCTAAATTTGTATTGGAAATGTTGAGTGAATTCAGGTATTATCAGAATAAAACAAGATTAATTCTTGGCTTACATTTAAACACTAATATTAGTTGATCTCTTCCTGTTTTAATATTTGTAATATTGTTGGTGTATTGATGATGCTCCTTTTAGAAGTGTTGCTTTCCCAAAGCAATTGGTGGTTTTATATATATCACATCAAAGGAAAAATGGCTGACTCCTTTTGGCACCCCCTCCCTGCTTATCTTGCCATGTCTTACCAAAAGTGCAGTCCATCACTCCATTTACCACCTTCCCACAATGAACACTTCCTCCTGCTGTCCTATTTTAACCACCTCCTCACATCTCTTCTTCTACTGTGACATTTAAACCCCTTTCCTGGCAAAAGTGAAAAGAGAAACAAGAAAGTTGATCTTTGGGAAAGGGGTTTAAACTACAGCAAAGACTTTATAGTGGGAATGTGAGAAAGGGAGTAATGCACAGGTGCTGTTTATGAGACAGTCTGTAGCATTCATGTTAGATGGGGACTTACAATACTTGTGGTGTTTCCACTTTTGTGGGGGTTTCTGGCACGTCACTCCTTTGAATATGGGAGAGGGGACTGTATTTTAAACAGAGAAGACACTTTGGGAGAATCTGAAGTTCAGTAAGTTATTTGCATTGGCTGTTTTAAGGTGAGCTTTAAAAATCTCCTGATCACTGTAATTATATTACGGCTGTGTTTCCTAACCGGTGGTCCACAAGAATGAAAATATGGCCTGTGGCCTCATCATTACTACACCGTTGCTTTGAAACCACCAACGAGAGTAACTGGTTTCATGAAACCCTCTTATAGTGCCGAGGCAACCGTGATGTCAAAAGTGGAGAGGCTGACTACCCACAAAAGATTACTACTACCATGATTCGTAGCCCCCTTGGTACTAATGTTGGAGAGTGGTCTGTGGTCAAAATGGTCCCTGGTCAAAAAAAGGTTGGGAACCACTGTATTAGGGTGACATTCAGTAACATAATTGCACTTCCTTTCTGTCAACAGGAGGAGTTTGGATACAATGCAGATACTCAGAAGCTTCTTGCTAAAAATGGTGAAACACTACTTGGAGCAATTAATTTTTTTATTGCCAGCGTGAACACTTTGGTAAATAAAACTATTGAAGATACATTACTGACTGTGAAGCAATATGAAAGTGCCAGGTAAATATAGGTCTTATTTTATTTTATTTTTGTCCTTTACAAGTACATAGCTTTGGGAAATACATTTGCCATTTGTTTGATTTTGAGTTTCGATCAATTCTGACATGGACTTCACTTAATGTATTTGGAGGAGATCTATTAATATCGAAGATTAAATAAAGTCCTATAGATTATAGTTGATCTTTTGTAATTAATTCTGAATCAAACCCATTGCCCAAAAAACCTATTTTAATCCTACATATAGATGCTGTAACCGCAACAGTTTATTTATGCATATGAGATGCTCATGTTATGGAATCAAAGATTTTTTTATAGTTTTCCCTGTTCTGCAGAAATGGAAATCATTCAGCCCTTACCAGCATGTTTTGTTTTTGTTTTTGCTAGCTAAGGACGCTAGAAGTGACCTGAATAATAGCCAGTGGGCCACATGGTTCCTATCTCTTTTGTAGCTGCCCATTTCCTATTATTGAATCAACAGCCTTCTGTTGTTATTAAACTACTTGCCTCTTTGAGAATAGGAATTCATGTCAGGAAGAATTGCAAAGAAAGTTCTTTCTCGGAAATGAATTACTTCTGTATAAATGACTTAAGCATTGCATAAATACCCTAAAAGCACCAGATCATCTCTGAAACTTAACAGAGTCAGCCCTAGTGAGACTTGGATGAGGAACCACCAAGGAATACCAGGTGCTGTAGGCTATATTTTGAGGAAAGAGCTTGCAAAACCATCTCTGAGAATTCTTTACATAAGAAACCCCTATGCAGTTCCAGGAGCTGCCTATAAGTCAATAAGCATCTTGAAGGTGTATATGTGTGCACACACAAATTGGTTATACATAATCTACGTTCTGATGGGGGTGAAACTGAATATTTAATATTCACAAAAAAGAGTTAGAATTATACTCTCCATATGATTTACAATTGAGTATATTTAATTTTATTCTGAACACGAAATTGATTAGATTAAAATGGGTTATTTGTATCTTACTGTGCTATATGCATGAAAGTGGAAGTATTTCATAATACTATTAATAATGTTGAATAGGGTGAGTCCTATTGTAGTTTTAAAAGTGGTTGTTGGTTTGATTGAAGTCTGTAGCAGTCATGTTGTAGATGCAAAAAGAGAAAGGAGAAACCTACTGCCTTACAAACAAACAAAGGCACAAAAAGTGGAAGTAATTTGGTTTCTTTATCAAACTGATGCAAACAGTAGAAATCTTATTGTTCCTTCTATCCTGGTCCTTTTGATGTTAAATAGCTTTACAGCAGTGGTTCTCAACCTTCCTAACGGCACAGCCCCTTAAAACAGTTCCTCATGTTGTGGTGACCTCCAACCATAAAATTACTTTTGTTGCTACTTCATATCTGTAATTTTGCAACTGTTATGAATTGAGACGTAAATATCTGATATATGTAGGATCAAGCCTGTTGCCAGGATTTCAATTCGGGGGGGGGGGGGGGGGAGTCTGAGTGAAAGAGGGTCTAGCAAACCTTTTGTATCGTTACCCCAATACCCCCATGCATATGGGATATATTGAGTATGGTGATCAGATCATGATATGAATAAACATAACAGTTTAAATAATGCACCAGTAAGGCCTTTTCGCGAACCACCATGAGAATTTTGGGGGGGGGGGGCTGAAGCCCCCCAGCCCCCCCCCCCCCCCCCCCCCCCCCCCCCGGCTACATGCCTGTGTAGGATGTATTTTCACTGAACAAATTGGCACAAATCCTCAATACACTCAAATTTGAATGCTGGTGGGGTGGGGTGGGGGTGGGGTCATTTTGTCATTTAGGAGTTGTTGTTCCTGGAATTTATAGTTAACCTACAATCAAAGAGCACTCTGGACCCAGCCTGCATTGGATCTGCACCATCCTTGCATGCTCTCCCTCAACCACACATGCATACTATTCTGCTGTGCGCCGAGCATGCCTGCTCTCCCTTCCCCACTTGGAGTCTCAGAAACAGCTCTCCCCTTGGCTGAGAAGCCAGCCAATCACAGCAGAAGAGGGCTTTTGGTGGGAGAATTCGCCGCCCGTTTCCGAAAAGGACAGGTGGAGAGATCTTCAGCCTTTTCTGCCAAAGGGGTTCCTAAGACCATCAGAAATATATGTTTTTTGATGGTCTTTGGTGACCCTTCTGAAACCCCCTTGTGACCCTCCCCCCAGGATCCTGACTCCCAGGTTGAAAAAAAGCTGCTTTAAGGGGATCAGGTTTAGAATAGGGGTGGATAAAAATAAGGGGTTCTCCCTATTTAATAATTTTAGAAATGTAAAATTCAGTTTCTGTCCTTCCCAAATGCATTTCTTTGCAAATTACAGTTGTTTTTACTTGTAAAAATTGGAAAGCTCCAGTCCAAGTATTGTCATAAAATATAATCTAAACTAGGTGTTACCATTGCTTTGTGCAAGTCTGTGCAGATTGTTTTAACTCTTTCTTCTTCTCAGGATTGAATATGATGCTTATCGCACTGATCTAGAAGAACTGAATCTTGGCCCACGTGATGCAAATACTTTGCCAAAGATTGAGCAATCACAGCAACTGTTCCAGATACATAAAGAGAAATACGACAAAATGCGTAGTGATGTATCAGTTAAATTGAAGTTTTTGGAGGAAAACAAGGTAAGGGACTTGTTTTCCTAATACATGCTATATTATTTATTAGCTGTGCAAAATTCAATCTGAAATAAAATTCATTCTGTAATCTAATCTGATTTTGAATAACAATAAAACAGGTTTGATTTTTTTAAAAAAATACTTAAATTGTGGTCAAATGCTAAATAATGTTTTGAAATCAATGAGACTTTTTAAATTTACTGTGATTAATTTACTTCCCTACTGATTTTGGTGGGCTGTTTTTAATCTGTACTGTATTTCTACTCCTTTGTTTTACTGTACACAAACAGTTACAGTATTAAACTTAACACGATAGAATGAGGAAGTGACAGTGCTCTCTGCTGTTCATAAGGATCTTTTGATTCCTGAAAATAAAATGTTGAAATTCACATTTCAGAAAGGGAAAGACTAGAATACTGCTTGTAGTTTTCAATAGCAAGGTGCAAAGACAAAATTTTAGCCTCTGCCACTGATAACAATTTATTACAAATGTCACAGCTATTAATAGTAGTGATTATCTTGTACGACAAACAAAAGTGAGAGATAATCCTGGTTAGTAGACTTTAAAACAATTGTGTTTAATGAACTATGGTGGGCAAAAGGAGGGATTATACTTGTACTTGATTCATTCCAGTGGCTGCAGTATGGCCCAAAAGATATATTAAGATTTCCTTTTCTGGCATACTAAGAAATCAAAGCCTGCAATTTAGGACAATTGGTCCATGTACATGGGTCAGCATGATTGCATTCCAGTTCTACTGCTTGGAAACAATTTTCTACTGCTTAGAGACAATTTTCTAACCAAAGACAGAAAACAGTATTTCGTCTAACTATGTGGTATGGAACAGACATGCGTATTCTCATGGAAACAAGTCTTGTGGAAAGTCTGAAGAGATGCAAGTGAGAGCCCATCAGACCTACTCTGGCAAGTGGTAAAAACAAGGAAACACTTCTTTGATAATATAACATCTTAGTATTATTCATCAGGGCTGGGTGGATGCTGGAAGAATAAGATCTAAGACAGTATAGGTGAATTTCTGGTATCAAGACTTGAATCCTGTTATTAGTTCTGCTTCCTGAAATACCATTTGGTTTTGTTAGATGAGCATCAGCTCTTTTAAGCCTAGGGAAATGGCTTTTTTCATTTATCCTGGAGGGCTGTCAGACTCAGTCAACGAGATTGGAAATACCCCATTGAAAATGGCAGTATTCAACAGCTTCTAAAAGCTAGGCTGAACCCATCTTTAAGGATGTTCAAACTCCCTCATTCTGGACTGGAACTAGTTACCATATTTTATCTTGGGGCAAATTGTCTTGTTCATCCTTTGGATGTCTCCATGAGAAGAGCACAACTCTGTTTATATTCTTGGACACTTTTTTTAGTTTTTTTATACTATTAGTGATGATACTCTGGGTAAGCTGTTTTGATTGGTCATAGAGTGGCAGCACTTAGCAATGATTCTATTCCTTCTTAGATGTGTGACATAATTACTTAATTCTGCTCTTCCTTTCTTGCTGTTTAACAGGAATGTTACGTGGAGAGGCTATCTAGAGATTTTGTCTGTAATGTAGCCTTTATATAAATAATACCCAGGTTTATTGTGTTGTGTGGTAGTCCTAACACAGACATGACTGGCCATGCTTTTATAATGGTAATAGACTAAATGAGAACAAGAGAAGTCTAGTCAGTCAGGCCATCCAAGACACATGTTTTGATTATTGGTTCATTCATGTGTTGAATAATAGTCAATTTGGGGCAATAAATGGACTAAAAATCAGTTTGTGATTGGAGGCTACATATTTGTCCAGCTATTTTATTAGGGGATCAACATAGCTTTATGGTCATGATTTCCTTTTGCCTGCCATGTCTAATACCCCAGCTGTAGCCTTTGTAGTTCCTAAGAGAGGTTTGCCAGACATGATCCTTGTGTTCTGTTGTGCACCAGATGAAGACCTTGCAATTCACCCAGGCCCTTTAAAAAGCATTTACTCTGGGTTTCTTACTTTTAAACTATATGTTCATAGAATCATAGAATCAAAGAGTTGGAAGAGACCTCATGGGCCATCCAGTCCAACCCCCTGCCAAGAAGCAGGAATATTGCATTCAAATCACCCCTGACAAATGGCCATCCAGCCTCTGCTTAAAAGCTTCCAAAGAAGGAGCCTCCACCATACTCCGGGGCAGAGAGTTCCACTGCTGAACGGCTCTCACAGTCAGGAAGTTCTTCCTAATGTTCAGATGTTATTTATCTTGGGATTTCTGTGAGACTGTTTGTACTTGTGTTGTTGAAAGCTTTCATGGCCAGAATCACTGGGTTGCTGTGAGTTTTCCGGGATGCATGGCCATGTTCCAGAAGCATTATCTCCTGATGTCTCACCCATATCTGTGACAGTCATCCTCAGAGATTGTGAGGACAAGTCTACATAGAGACCACCAAATGCAGTGCCTAAACACGAATCAAGGAACATGAAAGGCACTGCAGACTAAATCAACCAGAGAAGTCAGCCATAGCAGAGCACTTGATGAACCAACCTGAACACAGCATATTATTTGAGAACACAGAAATGCTGGACCACTCTAACAACCACTATGTCAGACTACATGGAGAAGCCATTGAAATCCACAAGCATGTGGACAATTTAAACAGAAAGGAGGAAACCATGAAAATCAACAAAATCTGGCTGCCAGTATTTTAAAAACTCTAAAATCAGAACAGTCAATAAAGAACAACTCTGAAAACAGGGGAATTCCAGACATGAAATAATCAAGGCCAGCTTACACCTCCCAACAAAGGATTTCCCTAGGCAGGAATCAGCCAGACCTTGAAGCTGCAAGGCTTTTCAATGCTAATTAAGGTGATTAATGGCACCATTCACACTTGCATCCAACAGACAAGAGTTCTTTAACCCACCCTGGACCTTCCACAGATATATAAACTCGCTGGCCATTTTCCAATATACCTAAAAACCTCTGAGGATGCCTGCCATAGATGCAGGCAAAACATCAGTTCCAGAATGCTTCTGTAACATGGTCATACAGCCCGGAAAACTCACAGTGACCCAGTGTTGTACCTGGATTTTTTTTTGTTTTTTTAAATTCTATAAATGTAGTGGTCTGTTCTATATTTAAACTGTTTTGGTTTATTTTAAACCATTTTAATATTTTTTGTCATGCTGCCACATGTTTGTTTTGAATTGTGACAGAGAGTACAGCACAGAGCCTTTGTGACATTTAAGGGAGGAATGAGGAGAGGGGGCATTTTGGTACCTCCTCATGGTGGATAATAACTGATAACATCATTACTTTTCTGAGGCATGGAGAACATGTTTATAGTGTCTTCTTAAAATAGAGGTGTGTATGTGTGCATTTTAAAACTATTTTAATGCATTTCAAAGTAACATTTGACTTTAAAGTAACATTTTGATGGCTTTTGGTAGGCGATACCCCAGTGCATCTAGCAGAACCTTCCAGAACTGCCATAGACAGCTTCACTTGAAATTTTACACCAAATGTGTGGAATACAGCCGTTTCAAAATCTTTCCTGCTTGATGCTGCACATTTGCAGAGATTTGCAAATGTGCAGATATGGGTGGTTACATTTAATGAAGCACAATCTGTGCAACTAACACTAGGCTGGTATAACAGGTAGTTCTACCACCTGTCAGGACCGCTTGACAACTTGCAGACTTACTTGTGTACAATGTCACTACAGATTTTATTCATTGTGCAGGGAGCAAAAGTTATCAACTTATCTTCACATCTGAAGAGCTAACAAACCACCTTTCCCTCAGGGCACCTATGAAGTCATCATGCCAGGAGTCAAAAGAAAATCAACCTTAGAAGGACTGGTGTTCAAATTATTATTTCCTGAAAACAAAGTGAGGGGGTCTGTTCATTGAAAGAAGGGAGCATTTGCAAAACTGGGAAACCACTTTTATTTTACTTCACCAAAACCAGCATTGATGTGGTCTTTATTTATTGATCGTGTCAGAAGCGAATTGAGGGTACAGTTTTAATGTATTTAAAAACATAAACAAAGTTAAGAATTTGGCATTATACTAAATGTCCTTTGACCAAAAGCTGGCCACTTGGAGTGCCTCTGGTGTCACTGTAAGGAGGTTAAGAAGGTCCTCTGTTGTGCATGTGGCAGGGCTCAGGCAGCACTGTAGTAAGTAGTCTGTGGTTTGTGCTTGTCCACTCTTGCATGTTGTGGACTCCACTTTGTAGCTTCATTTCTGAAGATTGGCTCTGCATTTCATGGTGCCAGAGCACAGTCAGTTCAGCACCTTCCAAGTCGTCCAGTCTTCTGTGTGCCCAGGGGAGAGTGTATCATCTGGTATCAGCCATAGATTGAGATTCTGGGTTTAGCCTGCCACTTTTGGGCTCTCACTTTCTGAGGTGTTCCCTGCAAGTATCTCTGTAGATCTTAGAAAGCTATTTCTTGATTTAAGGCATGGGTGTGATGGCTGATATCCAAACAGAGGATGGCACAGAGATGTCACTGTCTTGGTCCTTTCATTATTGCCTGCTACTTCCCAGTGGATGTCAGGTGGTGCAATACCAGTATAATTTCTTCAGTGGTGTGGGGAGTAGACATGCTGTGATAATGCGGCATGTCTCATTAAGAGACACATCCACTGTTTTCCACACTGGCATGCATATTTAGCAGCACAGTAGCAAAGCACAAGGCCAGATATCTTCACTGTGTCTGGTTGTGATTCCCTGTAACACATGATTAAAGATATTTGCCCATCTTCAATCATGAAGCACGAACTCCTGATTGAGATTTGGACAAATTGCTTCTGCACAAATATAAATATAAAAAGTACTTGCATGTCTGAACAGTTGCATCTTATGATGTGTATGAATTCTGAATTGTTTTAACATTTGTCTATTGAAACTCACTGGTATTTAAAAAATGAAGAGGCAAATACATGAAACACGTGCAGACTCACACCCATTATGTGAAACTGTCGTTTAGCATTATATCTGACACAGTTCAGAA